GGCTAAGGAAAGAAAGCCTGTAGCTGATATGAGCCAAACAAATGGCAGGAAAAGGTACACAAAAGTACCCTAGAGCAGGGGCCCAGTTCTGGCCCACTTCCTCATGTACCATCAGCTCACTGGTTCTCACCTAAGCAAGGCCTTAGAGAAAGAGACAACAGCAGGGGTGGGCAGGGGTGGGCAGGGTGGGCAGGGGTGGGTGGGGAGCCTCCTCTTCCCTTGCTTTTCAGTACTGGTGTGGATTTTCAGTACTGGTGGTGATTGGTGTGGAGCTTGGCTAAGACTGGGTTCAACCCCAGGTTACAAAGAAGCACCATTGTCATGGTTTGTATCTAGTTGTCCTCATGTAGTCAGGGGGTGGCTTCTAGAGTTTGCAATTAACTCTGAATCCAGTGCTGGGATTACAATGTGAGTGCTACGCCCAGGGGTAACCTAAAGGAACTAGAAGGAAGGGACAGAGGCTTGCCTTGGAGGCTGCTGCCGCCGCTCTGCCCCTTCAGCTCTGCTGTTCAGCTGTTTTTTTGCCACCATGGTCTGCTCCCTCTGCCATGTGCCACCCCGCCTTGGAGCAAGCTGATTATGGGCTGAAACCCCCACAAGCTGTGAGCTAAATAAATCTTTTCTTTCTTAATTTTGGGTGTTAAGTATTTTGCCCCAGCAATGAGAGAAAAGTAACCAAGACAATCACCTAGTCTTTTTCTATAGCCAAACCTGGCCTGAGCACCCCCTGGAAAATTAAAAAAAAAAAAAAATTGCTAAAGGGAAACACATAATTCAGAGCACTGTGCTTTTCTGTCCCTTTGGAAGACACACTGACATAGAAAGCAGTGCTGGCTGTCAAAGGGGCAGTTTCCCGTAGTAATTCTGCAGGCCTTCAGGAGCCGGAACTGAGGTAGCAGCATTCTAAAGATTAGGGTAAACCATTCCCTTAAGACTATTTCTGTTTTGTTTTTGTTTTTCTGTTAATTTTTGTCTGAGACAGGGTTCCACTATGTAGCGCAGGCTGGTTCGCACTCACTGAGATCCTCCCGCCTCAGCCTCCCCTGGGACTACAAGTGTGCACGACCACACCGGGCTTCTTTAAGCAGTTGTGCTTTCCTGGTGTGAAAGGGTTTTTTTCTTTCCCCTTCTGATGCTTATTGGTGTTAACTGATCTCAAAAGAGAAGAGGCTGGCCAGAGCCAGGTTGGCAGTGGTTGTTGGAAAAGACTTTTTGTGTGCCAAGCTCACAGGAAAGTCCCCTCCCTCCCTTTCTCCTCCCCATCCGGCCCTCCACCCAGAAGGTGTCACTGCCTCCTGTTACACCTGGAACACCTGGAAGCTAACTCTGCCAAGAGTCCACCTCTTCCAGCGCAGCGCTGAGCCTGCGGAGCTGGCTTGGAGTCCTTAAGGAAACGACACCTGTCTGGGCCCAGATTTATAACCCGGGCTGGAGGTTTCCCACCTTAGGAAAGCTTCTCTCTCCGAGTGGAAGGTGTGCAGAAAAGCTAGTCTCGTTCTGAGCAAGTGGGAAAGAAAATCAGAGTAGGGATGAGTGATTCCCCAGACTGCCGTCTGAGCCCTTTGCCCCGGCTGGTTTGCGTGCCCAGGAGTGGGTAGGAGGGTGTGTGTGTGTGTCTGAGACACATACTGTTCTGATCTAATGCTCTTGGCAGCAGCAGCAGGCTTGTGGGAAGGGAGTGGAGGGACAGCATGATCAGCCCTTCTCCTCCCCTCTCCCTTCAAGCTGTCAGACAGGGAACACTGTGTCCTCAGCCCACCCCAGGCACCCAGATGACCACTGTGCAGGGAAAGGCAGCGTCTCCCCACCCCCTCCACCCTCACCCCCTAGCCCTAGCCAGCCCCATGGTAGCAGTGAGTCCGCTGACCCTGCCCGGACCTTGTGACTGCTAGGTCTGTCTGCCCTTAGATGAAGAAAGGTTTGTGGGATCCGACAGCCACTCTTACTTCTCGGAATCTGGCCTCTCAGCCCAGTGCTCAGGAAATCACAACTCCAGGCTGAGTAGCAAGGACTCTAGGAACTGGGGAGATTCGTGGACAGTTTCCAGTCGGGGAGTCGCCGGCACAACGTCTTCCACTGACGCTTGCCTCCGGAGTCCTGTGGACTCTCACCCTCCAACCCCCTCTCCCCCTGGTCACCTTTTCTCTGAGTCTTTCACTGCCTCCTCATTCCTGTATCCTGCTTCCTCTAAAAGGCTACTACTCAGTCTTCAGAATAAACTTAACACTGTGTCGAGCCTCCCAGGTCCCCGGCGTCCTGGCTGCCTTGTTCTGTGTTAGCCAATTGCCCTGTTCTCTGTGTTTCATGTCCTTTCTCCTGGCAACACGGAATGACCCATATTATAGACAGCTAAACTTGATTGAAATCCGACCAGCAGACGGACAGGACTGGGCCCTAGAGGGAGTCAGTACAGAGGATGAAAGCACAACTGTGGGCCTTGGAGGCCGGGCCTAGAGACAGAGACAAAGTGACCAGGCCTGCACGCCTCCCTGAGAGATAAACATTGAATTAGCATTCACATCAGTCACTGGGGTGGGAGGCTGGAACCCCAAAGTCTTCTTTTCCTAAAAGGCCCTTGTTCTTTCCAGAAGCACCAGCTCCACCACCTGCTTCCCCACTGGATCAACATTGAACTCAGGCCCTTGCGCTTGCCAGACAAGTGCTAATTCCACTGAGCCATCTCCCCGGCCCCTAAACTGCTAAACTTGTAATCTTACTGGTTATCACAGTTTTGTCCCCCCTGTGCCTGCTTAATGATTCTTGCACCCACCTGGTGATTTTGTTTTATAAAACTTAAGTCTGTAAAACAGTGTCTATAGCAACATATTTTCTAGGTGCCCCCCTGTCCCTCTCAGGAGCTGTCTCCCTCAACAAAATATTCCTTCTCTTAAGCTTCCTTAGAATTCATGCCTCAATTTTGGGGCATGTGAACTTGGCCTGTTGGGCATCTGGCAGTTACACTTACTCCCTCTCTGTCAGCTGTGCTTCCTCGTATTCCTGAAGTGAGCAGGTGTGGAGCAGGTGTGAACCAGGTGTGAACCAGGTGCGAACCAAGTGTGAGCCAGGCATGAATGAAGATGACTTAGTACAGTCAGTACACTGTTGTCACAGCCCTTTCCTCTCCTGCTGCTCTCATGAGGGAAATCAGTATTGCTATGGTGGTGCCAAAGGCTGGTGATGAGTTTAGGGACAGCTGAATTGCTGTGCGCGGAGGGAAGTGGCCCTAGAGGAGCTTTCCAAGGCATAGGGGACTTCTTGTGTATGAAAGCCAGGATTCTGTGGTGCAATGTGAGGGTGCTTATTACCACAGCAAACCTCGCCTGTCCTGACTGAGGCACTGCCTTCGCATCTGCTGCTCCCGTGGTTATAGGACTGGAGTCACACTGGGTGTCTTTGGGCTCCTGAAACAAAGCAGGATCTTTTGTCCCTCAGAGTCATTCCCTACACTGTTCCCTCTGCCTGGGAGGATCTGACTTCTTCTCATTGTTCCCTTTCACTCCTACAGAAAACACATTAAATGAAAACTAAATAGTCAAAGTCTAGCAGAGTCTATAAATTGGGAGAGGCAGTTAGGTGGGAGGGAATACAAGGGTCATGACCCTAATTTTGAACATATTTAACCAACATTTATGGGGCACACACTCTCTGGGCCAAGACATATTTTATGTGCTGGGAAAGTGAGAGAAACCAGACATTCCCCTGACTTAAAGGAACACACAGACATGGAGTAGAGACCCCAAAACTACAGGATGAGTGTGAGAGGAAGGCTGAGTCACAAACACTGAAGAGACAGATAAAAGGAAAGAAAGATGTGGAAGAAGCCACTGGATTTAGAGAGGAGAGCATGGCTGGCCACCGTGGTGGGTGATCTCCAGCCTCTGGGGCAAAAGCAGCTTGGAGGATGTTGGTGACTCCAAGGTGTAATAAGCTTTAAGCCAATAATGACCCCTTCCTCCCAGTGAGGACGTCAACAACAGTTAGAGACATGCATTATTTCTGACCTTTTCAAACAATGGCATACTCTTCCTCGTTTCATAGATGATGAAACCTAAATGGAGAGGTTAAGTAAGACAGCCCAAACCACACAGTAGGAACAGCTGGACTGGGCCAGGGAGATAGCGGTGTACACACCCTTGGCAAGCGCGAGGTCCTGAGTTCAATTCCCTGTACTGAAGAACAGCAACAACAGCCACCAAAAAGAAGAGCCCCATTAACGCTAGCTATTCTGACTCCACAGCCCATGCACTCCCCACTGTCTCGTGGTGTGGTTTGTGTCTAGAGGTCCCCACAGAACCTCCTGCGGTCATAGGATTTTTTTTCGGAGGTGGCTGGATCTAGGGTGTATGGTTGATTCTAGTGCAATACTAGGATTAAGGCTGGGTGATTGCTGGATTGGTCCACTGATGGGACTGGCACTGCCTTAATCCTGGAAGGCTGAATACAACAGAAGGGACAGAACGAGGCCCGTCTCGCTCTGTCTCTCACCCACTTGTTGCTTTTGCTATTTTTTCACCCCTGTGAACTGCTCCCCTCTGCTATGTGCCGCCTTGCCTTGGAGCCAGCTGAATATGGATCACACCTTCTATAAACTGTGAGCTAAATATCCCTCCTCTTAACTTTGGGTGTTCGATCTTTCATCTTAGCAACAAGAGAAAAGTAGCTGAGACCCACTGTATGCCAGACAGAGGTGCCCTCAGGTGGTGCGTACCTGCAAGAGCCTTTGAAACAATGAAGAGAAGACAACTCAAAGCACGGTACAAGAGCGGTGACTTGTGGGAATCTTATTTATCTATCCATTTATTTACTGATTGTCTTTTTGAGACAAGGTCTTGCTATGCAGCTCAGACTGGCCTTGAGCTCACTTTGTAGCCCAGGCTGGCCTTGAACTTGCAACAATCCTCCTACCTCATGCTTCTGAGTGTTAGGATTACAGGCGTGCACCACCATGCCCAACTTTGGGAATCCTCTTTAAAACAAAGGCAAAGGACAAAGATTTTTAAATTTTCTTGGTTTTCATTGGAATATAAAAGCCAACTAGAAAATCTTGTTCATTTTCATGCCAGGAGTTTCAGTGAATCCCCAAGCTGGGCTCTATTTCTGCATGATCCAGGAGCAGGTGCACAGAGAGAGAATCTGACTTGAAGGAAAGCACCTTAGTGCATTTCAAGGTCATTAACGAAGTTAAATGTTAACCAGGAAAGGCCTTCTTTTTTCCCATCACCCAACTACCACCTGCTCCATTTTATCCTTAGGTTTTAAAACACAGATTTATCCCAGGAAGGACATCAATGATTCAAGCTAGGCTGAAAAGAGGGCAGAGTGTAGGGAACACATACTTTCCAAACAGGAGAAGTGCATGTGTGCATGCGTGTGTGTGTGTGTGTGTGTGTGTGTGTGTGTGTGTGTGTGTTTGTGTTGCATGTACTTTTTTTACACAGCTTCCCATCAGTGTATATCTTCAATCATTGGCAGTTTTTAATATGACATTCATTTATGGAGAGGAGGAAGAGAAAGGCTGAAGGAAGAAAATCAACTTTTAGTGAAGCTGAAATGTGTGGTCTCAAGCACAGTTGTCAGATGACCATCCTTTTCTAGGACTCCTTCCACACTTCAAACAGGAGACATTTGCATAACTTTCTTTACCCTTTTTACTCAACAGGAAATGAATGTTTGCAGAACACGGTAACTTCTACTCCTAATAAATGTAGTGACTTCTAAGTGAGGTGCCCCACAAGCATAGCAACCAGAAAAGGTTTTCAGAATTCTCAGAGATCATCTTCTCCAGAATATCTCAGGAATCAAAAACTACTGAATGGGAGTTTGCTAGCATCCATTGAACTCTGGGCGGTGCATTCCACTGGTTGAAGTTCCTGCCTCGTTTTTCAAACTTCTCCACATCCAGGCATGAAGCAGGTGTCCAGCAGGACTTCCCCTCCCCAGGAAATGGATTGCTGGGTGCCACAGCAACATCTTCTTATGCAAGAAGATGAATGGTGTTGCACAGATTAGACAGTACCCTCCATGCTAAATGGTTAACAATCTAAGGCAGAAAATCTCTCTATGTTTGGAAGATAAGACTCTGTTTCCACTGTGAAGTTCCCTTCCCAGAATTCCTACTGGGTGAATGCAGTTCCTGCTCACAGCTCAAGGCTCTTGCTGTGGTTGTCTCTTTAGTTCAGTGACTTCATAGACGGCTCAAGGCAGAGACACCTGGCTGCAAAGAAAGCTTCAGACTGGACCATACAAGCCCAGGTTCCGGGCAGCTTGAGAGATTCTGGGAGGTTTTCTTTGTGGAAATGGGTAGTGAGCTGGTTTGACAGGCCTGTGTGAGTTCTTTATAGGAGATGGACATGGGACGCTGGTCTTTAGGATGGATTCTTCTGCTTTTGTTTCTGTGCTGCCCACTTGACACTGAATCTGGGCTGCCTCTGGGATTTGCTGTGTCTTTTGGTCACTTTCTAGTAAGTGCTGGGCTTGCTCTGGAGGGAGCCTTTGGTCAGACCCCACACGCTGGTCTTTCAGCTTTACTTGATGAATGTTTTCCTGGTGAAGAGTTTGGACTAAGCGGTACATCTCTAGGTGTGTGTGCCATGGAGACTCAGCAGCCTGAACACAGCTCCTGTCAGCTTCTTCCAGAATCCGCCCTTCCCCCAAAGCTGCCTCCTCCAGGGACAGGGAGCTCCTTCTCTCCTTGTTAATCCAAACAGCACTGATCATGGATTCCGCAGGACTAGGTGTGTTCCCTCCTGAGAAGAAAAGGCACAAACAGTGTCACAGGCTGGAGGTAAGTGGCAGCTGTCCTTTAGGGCAAGGTCCCCAACCCCTAGACCAGTCCATGGCCTCTTAAGAACCAGCCACACAGCAGGAGGTGAGCAGAGGGCCAGGGATCCACCCTTCATCTATATCCAGCAGCAGCTCCTCACTGTTGGTTTTCCACGTGAGCTCTCCCAGATCTGCATCAGATCGGTGGTTAGGGACTCAAGGGAGCTCAGATCCTACTGTGAACGGCACGCACAGGGGATCTAAGGCTCATGATCGCTTGACTCACCTCTCATCCAAAGAAAAATTGGCAGCTGTGAAAATGATCCCTGATGCCAAAAAAGCTGGTAACCACTGCTTCAGGGGGAGTGCTTTCAGGTCAAAGAAAGGCCACACCCAGCATGCCAAGGGGTCCAGACACTGAGAACACTGCATGAGCACAACACACATGGAAGCACACATGACCTCACATGATCTCACTAGCACATGCCGGTTCTCCCTCCGACACAGGCTGACTCTTCATTAGACGTAAGTGTATTTACATGTGCCAGGCCTCTTTCATTCCAGGTCCCAGCAGTGCGGCAGTGAACTGTCTGTGTTCTAGTAGAGTACAAAAACAATTAGTAAGTATATATTCACATATATGTGAATTTACGATCATGTGTATTCATATTCATATGTATGTATGAACAAAACTTGAATTGGCAGCTGATGCTATGGGAAAAAGTGGGATTGGGGTGAAACGCTGAAGGAATGGTATGAACTCTGGGGAAGGCGAGGAGCCGGCATCGGAGGCCAGCAGACCAGCAGGGCACAAAGGTGTGGGCAGGCGCTAACACACACACATACTCTCTCACACACACAGACACACACACAGACACAGACACACAGACACACATACACACACACACACACACACACACACACTGGTTTAATTTGGGTCTAGAATGGCCTCCAAAAGCCCATGTACCAGACTACAGCATTCACTAGGGTCATGCCCTTAAAAACGACCCTGGGGTGGAGGGGAAGAAAGAAAAGGACCCTGGGCTGCCAGGCTGGCCTTGTCTTTCTTTCTCCTGGCCACCAGGAGGTGAGCGGCCTCCTTTGCCATGCTTCTCTGTTGTAATTTTAGTACTATGCTGTTTACAGCCCCTGAGCCACATGGCCAAACAACTGTAGAAAGAGACCCCTGGAACTATGAGTCCCAATGAATATTTTCTCCTTTTTAAATCAACTTCCTCAGACATCCTGTTACAGCCACAGAACAGTGACTAACGCACTCGTGCACGTACATCTTCATATACCCACTGGTGGAAGGATTGTTTTTCACTTACTTCCTGAGCTTCTGACACTGTGCCTGTCACCGAGACAGAGCAGGGACGAGCTCTGCTTTAGAGCAGCGCCATGTGGAGGGCATCCCTTGGTCTCCCTTCTAGGCCACAGACACTGTTCTGGGAAGATATTCTCAGGATCTCTATTTTTCTAAACTGTTTTCAGAGCTGAGGATTTCAACCACTGTCCCTCTTTGTTCGCAGGACAAATCTTAATTCCTAAAAAGCCACGTTGTGGACTACGGTAGCTCCTTGTGTACACTTGGTGGCAGTGAGTAGTGGGAATGACTGAAGGCAGGTTGGTGTCCAGCCTGGGTTCCTTCTGAGTTGTCTGTTAGGTTTCCTTAAGAGTCCCAGCACCTGTTACCACAGGAAACTGAGTAGCAGACAAAGAGCATCGTGAGAGCAAGGGGACAGCCCCGGCAAGACGAGGTTGGAAGGAATCCCTCGGGTTGCAGGAGCCCAAATGCAGAAGAACCAGAGGAGCAGATGCAGCCATCCCCGCGAACAGCTGCAGGCCAGTAAATGGAATTCCAGTGGAAAGACTGAAGACTTGTTCCTGCTTTGTAACCAAAATTATATTCTTAGTGTGACAAGAATGAAACCTTTACAGAAATTCAAAATGCGATGCACTTATCTGAGAACAAAGAAGGACAGGGGTGTGATGGGAGAGACTGGGGAGGGCACCTTGGTCTACCATGAGGCTGGCAGGACAGGGCTTGGGGTAGATAGGCGGGACCTGCTGCGCTGTCAGTCCTCACCTGGGGTCCACAGAGGGCAGGAGAGAGAGAGACTGGGAGGCCCCCTGGGAACCTGACCCAGAGCAGAACCTGCTGCCACAGTGTCCTCCATGACCTTGGGATGCTGCCTGCCTTCGCTGTCCAAGCCAGAGAATCAAGGTCATGGAAAAGCATCCTGCTGAGGTTGCTGTCTCATCTCAGGGTGTCCCCACAGAGCCTCCTGAGCCCACAGTAGGGCTTTTGAGAGCTGAAGTTTTGGGATCGTGCCCCCTGGCAGGTGGATTGGTGAGACTGATTTGCACGTACATTAAATATGATGATTTAATTTGATAGGGGTTTAATTTTATAAATATTTGCCCAGTGACTGACTGAATTCCCTGGAGGGTGGAATAGGGCTTTGGCAACCTTTCAGCTTATGCCTACAGACACAGGTGCCAGCTGGCTGCTCCAGCTCAACTCAAATGGATCCCACAGATAGGAAGAGCCCAAGTAATGGGAGATGGGCTGCGAGAGTTCAGAGGTGTCCTTTTTGGAGACAAAAGACTTCTACTGGTGGCCTTGCTTTCCTTCAAAAGGCACTTTTTGTCACAGACAAGGGCCACTCTCTAGGCCTGAGTCCTTCCTAGAGCAGCCTGGCAATAGGCAGAGGATCCACTTGTCCACTGCACTGTGGAAACAACCACAGAAACTCTTGGGGCACTCTGTGGACCTTACAGAGTAGGAGCTGACAAGCACTTCTGAGCCAGCACCCGCCTGGGGAGCATAAGGCCATGAGTTTGATTCCTCATACAAATAAATAAATAAATAAAATTTCCAAAAAAAAGAAAGAAAGAAAAAGTCCCAGTACCCCACCTGGCCTAAAAGAGGAGACAAGCCCAGCTCACCAGGCTGACCAGTTTAGCAAGGTCAGAACCAGGAACCTGGCAGCAGAAGTCAGAAACAGCGCTGCTAGCCAGGTGCCCGGCTGTGGGACAGCCCGAGGGAGCTGCACTGTGCTAGCCTCCCCTTCTTAGTTCTGGTTCTACAACAAGAACTTTGCTCTTCTCCCCTGGGAGACTGGAGGGCCGTGGCCCCACCATTTCCGAGGCCCATTCTACTCACAAGGAGATCTGCAGCCCCAGCACCTGTTCAACCCTACCTTTTGGGAGCACCATGAGGTGGGCCTGGGTCCTCTGCTGCCTCCTCAGGCCTTCATACTGGGCTCGCAGGTATTGGATGTTGACCTGAGGCCCTTGCCCTGGGGCCTGAGTCCCGGTGCCCTCAGCCATGAAGCGAGACCCCAGCTGCCAGAAGTGGGGCAGGGCAGGGCACGGGCAGGCCAACCTCTTCATCCGGGTCCGGGAGAAAAGCAAACACTCAGGGGAGAGGCAAGAGGAAGAGGAGGAGGAGGAAAGAGAGGGAGGGGGAATGGGGTGAGAGAGGAGCTGGTGGGACCAGAGGTGGGCAGAAAGGGGAGCAGGAGGACAGGAGAGATGGGAAAAATAAGGAAGAGGGAGGAACACAACAGGAGAAGCTGAGGGGAAGAGAACAGGGGAGGACTTGGAAGGAAGGGTCAGAATTAGGAGAGAGATTTGAGGAGAGGGAAAGAAAGGAGTAGCAAGGGGGGAGAGAGGGGGAGGATGGTAAGAATTAGTGGGAGCTGGGAAGTGAGTGAGACACGGAGCAGGACAGTGTGGGTGCTTGGAAAGCAGGAGGCGGTGGGCAGAGGGGAAGAGCAGAGCATACAAAGCAAGAGACCCGAGTCGGGCGCCGCAGTCCCCGTGGGAGTCTCAGGAGGTGGCTTATTCCGAGTCCTTCATTTGTGGTTCCTCAAGCTTTGAATCTAATTCCAGGAGCTATGGAGCCCCACCTTCTGGCAGAGCCAGTGCAGGGGCGGAGGGCGGCCTGGATCCCGCTAACTCACACGTGGCTGCCTGGAACGCGGGGGCTCATCCAGCCTGTGGGGTCATCTTGGCGCTGTCAGAGGGATGCTGTCAACAGGCAGGTGGAGCCGCGCTCAGGGTGGACATGACGAGGCCGAGCACTGGAGGAGCTCAACAGCACAGATCTCTGCTCACTCCAACATACCCCCAGGCAAAGCCCAGCCTCAAAGTCTGCAGTGGGGAAGGAGTCCAGGGGAGCCCTGGCCTTGCGCCAGCCCCACCTCCTTGACATATGATGCAGCCTCTGCGTTCTCAGCAATTTCCAGCTGAACAGTAAGTCTATCCTAGCACAGCTAGGTGCACCTCCACATGCCACTCGCCACCACCCCCAGCTTCTCTACGGCCTCTTCCAATGTCAGAAACCTTTGGGGTCTTACACCAGCTGTGACCTATTCTTGTTCCACTCCTCAATGAGACCTTTCTCTGTCTTCTCCTAATGTGGCACTTAGAGGCTACTGGTCTCCCAGTACACTGCCTCACACAGGCGTGGATGAGGAGACAGAGGGGGGTAGGTCTCTGCTGGGCAGCATGCTGGAGTTGCATGAACTCGGAGGCCTCAGCAGCAGCCTTTCCATCCAGTCCTGAAGTCTAGAAGTTCAAGATCAAGGTATGCCCAGGACCGGTTTCCTCTGGGGGCTGAGAGGAAGATCCTCTGAGGTGCCTCTCACCCAGCTTCCAACAGTATGCTGGCAGTCTGTCTCTCGTCTCATAAAAGAATCCCCAGTCTCTGCCTCTGTCATCATCACACGATGCTCCCCTGCATGCCCCCTATCAAGTTTTTCCCTCTTTATAAGGATGGCAGTCCTTGGATGAGGGGGAACCTAAGGACTTCGTCTCCATTTCACTACCTGAATCTTCAAGGAATCTAATTGCCAACAAGATCACCTTGCAAGGTTTCCAGCTTAGGATTCCAACACATGAATTTTGGAGGGATAAAATTGAACCCAGGCCAGGTGGAGGGATGACAATTCCATTCACAGAGATAGACACAAAGAGGAGCAAATTGGGATGTCATGCTTGTGGTACCTATGGCCTTAGGTCATCAGGGGGGAATTAGATGCTTGGTAGAAAGAGCTGAGCTAAAAATATAGAAGTCATTATTCATGAAAATCGTGCAGTCTGTTCCTGGAGAAGTCTTGCCACGTGTCAGGAACGTGTGGAGTCAAGAGACAGCCCCACATAGTTCTTTATGTTTTCCTCCTTTTCAGTCTCCCTGTTAGCCTGTTTGAGTTCATGTTCAGTGGCAGTGAAGTCCTCTCTTTTACTCTTTGTTTTTCTTCTTTGTCAGCTCTTAGCCCAGATCTTGTCCTCAGTCCTTGGCCCATTATGATGTTAGGGCAGGGAGTGAATAGTCAGAGCTGGGTGATCTTCTGCAGGGCTTTCAAATATATTCCCTGTGCTGTTAGGTGCCTTTGGAAACACTGCTGTCTTTTTCTCCTGCTGCAGCACAACCTCTTCCTAGTACCCTGGGTTAAGTTGGGTAGGGCCCCATCAGAGGAGTGGCTGTGCATGCAGAGGGGTGAGGGGCAGACAACGCCTCCCATGCCTCATAGAAATGGAAGTCTTCACCTCTAGACGTCAGCTGGGATCTTGTAATTGGATGAAATTTTCAGTTGAAGAGAATAACTTAAGAGACCCAGCTCTAGAAAAGATTAATATGTTAGGAGCAGATAGAAACAGCAACGCAGCACTGCAGATGAAACAGTGCAGACAAAATGATAGGAGAAATACTAAAAGCAGCTCTGTAGACTAAGGAAAGAAATCGCTATGGAGGAAGAGCGGGGAGGAGAGAGCTTCCCGATCCCCCACTGCCATACAGAGTAGCATCTGAGCAGCATGTGTGAAAAACTGGTTTTATCTGGCTGTTCAGTTAAAAACCCCACTGCCCAAGAGCCTCCCCAGTTGTCTGGGGTGGTAGTTGGAGGTTGGCACATTTCTAAAGTTCTGCACTGCCCTACAGAGCCATTTGGCCAGTGTTCTGGGCCCTGGGTCTCTGACTGAGATACAGGTGGTGGGGGAGCGCCAAAGCTCCTTCATCCCTGTGGAGGCACACCTGAGCAGCTCTCCTTGAAAGAAGAGCGACTGTCTCCATTTTGACTGAGCCTGACCCTATTTCCTTGTACTGTTACATACAGAGCTGGCTAGGACTTCTGTTTATCCTTCAATTGGCCTTAAGCAATATATATTGGTCTAGCTGAGATGCTGGTGATAGTCTTTGAAGGTGGCGTGCGTGTTTCCCTGGTAACCTAAACCTGCTGCTCCTTAATGTGAGCCAGGTTGAGACAGGATGGAAGAGCTAATGCTCCTCGCCACCAGCTGGGATCGAGCCTCGAAATGGAGGTATGACTTCCTGGGGCTTGAAAGACTACATCAAAGCTGAAGCACCAGACCCCCCAAAACATTAGATGCTATCTCAATGGCATAATAGTATAATGCAGATTTTACTCTTTCTGCATATCCTCTCTGCATATGGCAGAGGTAAATGTAGCCCACCCACCTAGCTCAGCTCACAACGATCACCTACTTCCCACAATTCTCAGTCAATCCTCCTCAAGCCACTCCCCCACTGAATAAAAACTGGGTGAGGCCCTGGGTCCTCTCTTTGTTCTGGGAAGCCATCTTCATGGCTGGACTTAGAGCCCCTTGACTCCCCAGTGATTGAAAATACAATTTAGGTGTCTTTATTTTCACTGTGGGTTACTTTGATAGTGGTAGATTGGAATTAACTTGATGAGATTCCAATAACGTAACTTTGGGATTATAAACATTGGCTCCTTGGATGGAGACAAGGACCTAGAAATGACTGCTACACATCCCTTCTAATCAGCACATCTGAACCAGGGGCTGAAAGCAAGAGGGACCCAGCTGTGCTTGTCCTGCTACACCTGCCATGGCACTTAGGCTCAACTTTTGTCTTTATCTGTGTCTTTGTGGATATTTTAGTAAGAAATAGGCAGAAGCCACTAACTGCTGGTGGTACTATCCTTTTAGCACTCCCCTCTCTGCCTTTCTTCCTCCCTCCCTCTTTCCTTCCTGCCATCTTCCTTCTGTTTTTGCTGGATAGAACCCAGGGCCTTACACACGCCAGGTAGTCGTCTACCATCTATAGCCCAAGTTTTTTCTTTTTGTTCATATGGTTTCTCCCTTTCAATCAGATCTCTAATCCAGTTGGAACTGATGTTAGGTATAAGGGGGAGCACCAAAGGAGCTAGCTGGTTGTTTTCTCCAAATAATTGCCAAATTATAATGTTTCTTATTGAATAAAACTTTCCATTCCCTATAATTTCTCCCCTATGATTTGTGATGATAATAATGACAATATAAGGGAGGAATGACAACTGTATGCCATCTCAGGGAGTACTTATGAATAAATGAAAATTGTGGTGGAGCAGGAGTCCTTCCAGGAGAATGATAATGATTGCTGCTATAATGACTGTCCTTTAGTGTCCAACTAGACCTTGCAGGGTGGCAGGAAATAAACAAGGGGGTTTGCTTGGGGTTCCAGACTCTGGAGCAAGGACAAGGTGCCCTGTGGCTTGAAGAAATATTCTCTCTATCTATCTATTTATCTATGTATCTATTCAAATTGTATTCAACCTGCAGCATGATATCTGGGATTGAGGGAGGCTCCTGTGTTTAATCTAACAGGCTGGCTAATGGAAGGAACCACCATTCTCCAGATCTCGCTGGATCTTGTACTGAGGAAAATCAGACCTAGAGGATCCAGTGCATCTCTGTCCAGGAGATCCAGCTGTTCAGCGAGGCTTGAAACTTTCGGGATAACAGGCTTGTTCACCGTGAAGCATCGCTCCTGAGAGTGTGGCTGGTTTCCTGATGAATGCTCAGCCCTCCCAGGTGACCACTCCAAGATTTAAGAGGAAGCCCTGAGGGCAGCTGGTGTGGGCGCTGAAGGCTGGTTCAGCCTTGTGGTTAGTGAGGTCTGCTGAGGTGTGTCGTGACCTTCAGAGTTTGGTTTGGTGTTTTTCCCACTGGAGACTGTAGGAAAAGGTGTGCCTCTGATCCTTTGCTTTTCTTCTCCCTATAGTAATTTAACTCCAATATGACCTGAGCCCTAAGATCTAATGAGCCTGCCTTAGAGAAACACGAAGGACAAGGAGGGATAGAGAAGGAGGTACCATTTGCCATCTTCTCTGGTACAGTGAGGAGGGGGGCCTCATCCTGTGGCGTGGGCTATGATTTGGGGGTGACGTGATAGCAGATAGTGTCCCCAGGATAGATGAATGTATGGGGAAGGGCTCAGGTGTCAAGAAGTGTCACAGGGCACACAATGTCAGGGTTTCAGCCTCAGAGAGTAAGGGAATTGCTTCTGAAATAGAAAAGGGTGGGTCAGACACAGGAAACAGATGGCTATATTCATGGAGCCAAGCTGCAACAGACCATGTGTATGCTTAACACTTTGCATGAATAACCTATTTTTTTGGAATAACCTATTTTTATTGTAATAAAATATATATAACATAAAGCTTATCATTTTAAGCATATGTTCAACATGGATTGCCAAAAATCACTGCAATTTCTAGAATGTTCTCATCATGGCAATCAAAGTCTGAACCTACTGGTAATTTTTTTTTTTTTTTTTTTTTTTTTTTTTTGTGGAACCGGGGATTGAACTCAGACCCTTGTGCTTGCTGGGGAAGCGCTTATTCGACTGAGCATCTCCCCCGCCCTCTGAACCTACTTAGGCAGTAACTTCCCATTTCCCTCCACCTCCTCCACTCCCCAAAACCTCTACTATGTCCCACGCTGTTATGATGTTACATACTTCATATATATGGAATCAGCCGGTGTTAGTGTGTATGTCTGGCTTATTTCACTTAATGTGATGTTTTCTAGGCTCGAATCCGCATTCGAAGCCTCCTGGTGGCCTACGAGGTTGCAGCTCGGTGATGTTTGCCTTACTCTCTAATCCCCATGACAAGTTAACCTATGTTCTCAGGATTTCCTGTGAATGGATTATAGATATGCCCAAGAGTGAAATACACAAGCCTAGGGCCAGGTATCTCCATCTACAAACACCTCGTCCACTGTCTCGTCGCCACTTCAGACTGAGGGGGCTCCCTGGAGATTTGGGCAGCCTTCAGCAGAGACGGAGACGCCTGGAAGCGTTTAAACTT